GGAATTCGATTTTCCCGCGTCATCTTTGGTTAAATTCGGTAGTCTAACAATTATAGCTGATTGGTTGTTCTAGCCAATAGGTCCCAGCTATAGCTATCACTGCCTTGCCTATCTTAAACGAATCCTTTTTGGCCTCGACCTTCAAGGAAATCTTATTCGTGATTTAATTTTTGAAATTTGCAAATTTCCATTCTATTTCAATGAAGGCGTTATTATTTAGAAGTATATCGATAGGTGATTTTTAATTTATTGAAAATGACCATTTATTATCTAGAGAAAGGTCTGAAGAGGGTAGGTTGATAGTTTCGCTAGAGTACGGCAGTATGAAAATCGAATAGAAGTTGAAAATGATCGAAGGGTCATTAATGCGACAGTACTAGCCCACCTAACTCATTCATGAATGTATGAGAATATTTTCCGCATTTCTTCAAATCTACAGGCAACAGTCCCTTCGCATATTTTCAACTTCTATCCAATTTTCAAACTGCCGTACTCTAGCAGAACTATAAACCTACCCTATTCAGACCTTTCTATAGCTAATAAGTTATCACACTAAAGCTTCATGTTAGATAGCATTTTGAACCAACTCTAAAAATCGTACGCTTCACAAGTATGAAGTAAAATAAAACACTTTGAATTTGACCATAAGGTTAAATGGACCACAAATTATTTCATTTTGTTCATAGACGTCAAACTTTGGGAGTTTCTATCGAAACAAAATTTTGACAACTTACGATTATAGCTGCCTATTTGTGACCTTCAGAAGCTTACCCGTCATAGGTCTTAATTCTTCGTGATTGATGATTTTAATGCAAAATACCGCTCATGGAATAATGATTAAAGCAATTCCAATGGTAATATTATAGGGTGTCCCAGAATGTCTAAGCACGAGTAAAAAAAACGATAACGTAACTCTGTTTACAGCAAATTTGATTTTTATTTCGTATTCATGTTCTCTATACTATTCTCTTACAGTTAATAATCACGAACACCACTTTTCCGCCCAGCAATTGGTCGTATAACTTCCGAGCCATCGGTTTGACGGATGCGGCTTGTTTTTCACTTCGTTTTGGATTCTTTTGCTTCTGATCCGTCTTTAGACCCATTCTTGCCTTGACCCGCTGGACGTTTCTCTTCGAGAATCTCACTTTTTTAGCCACGTCTCGAACTGAAGCACTTTTCTTGCGAGTGAAAGCTTGCCCGATTTTCCGGTCAAGATATCGGTCAACAGGGTTCGGTTTACGTCCAGATTTTTGCTTGTCATGGAAATTTGCTTCATCACCATACTTCCGAATCCCGTTTTGAACAGCTCCGATGCTTACACCTTCCAATTCCGCTAATTGACTCAGAGAAATGTTGGGGATAGTACACCATTTGTGCACGATCTGTTTGCGCATTTCCCGAGAAATGCTTCGCATTTTCACGGAAATCTAAAGAACCGACACTTGCGATACACGAAACTGTTGGTCGAAATGTAACCATTGATTCAGCGTGATAATCAGCTGTTCAAACGTCATCTGAAACAAGCAGGGGTGTTCCAAAGTCGTGCTTAGACATTCTGGGACACCCCAGTTATATGTTTGATGACTGAACTTTCTTTAAGTAATACCTAGAATTAATTGCCATTCTTGTAAAATTGTAACCTACTTCTTTTATTTATTTTCAAAACAAACAAACAAATAAAAGAAAAACTATTTAAAAAAAAATATTAAGAACTGCTAGGATTAAAGGCAAGATTAAGTACCGATTAAAGGTAAACAATTTTTCCGAAGACCGGGCAAACTTTGGCAATTGTGGTAAATTTTGCATTGCCAATCCCACGGCAATTGAATGTTTTACCGAAATGTTCGCCTAAGGCTTGGTTGTTGGATTCTCGGTTCCCCTCTTCGGAAAAGTTGTTCAGATTGGCAAAACCTATCCTGAAGTAAAGAGTTCAGTTCAGAATTCACTCACCAGGCAGTGTGACATTCATTTTGAATTGTTTACCCTCAGATGGATAAGATAGAAGTTTTCCGTCTTCAGCAATGTTGTTCAGATAGGCAAGAACTATGTCGAGGTAAAAAGTTCAGCACATAACTCACTGGCGTTCGTGTAATATTAACTTTTAATTGATTGTCCTAATTTATCATCTTGACTAGATAGTAGGTTCCCATCGTGGGCAAAGTTGTTCAGATAGACTAGACCTATGCTATGGTAAACAGTTTAACTCAACTAACTAAGTAAATAGAATATCGCTCTCATCAGCAATATTGGTCAGAAATAAATAGTCCATTAGTTTCCAACTCTGTTCAGAAGATTCATGTCATTCACATTTAGATAGAAAGACGCAATTCAATTTCTTTCGTTTATTTAAAAATGTTTTCTCAAAAATTAGATACGGTTCATATCAGTCACTTTTGTTCACCAATAGTCTAGGATATGTCTTGCCCATCTAAACAAGTTTACCGAAGACGGAAACCTTGTATCAAGTTCATATGTTAAGTAAGGGCAAACAACGGAAATTTAATGCCACAATAGTGTCCCTGGTGACTGACTTCTGAGCTGAACTCTTTACCATAATATAGGTCTTGTTCAGATATGTTTCAGGAGACGTTTTTTTTTTTCATTTTCGGCATCCTTATACCTTCTAGAATGTTGTGTATGTTGTGCATGGAATAGCAGAATGAATGTAAGCCACTGTTAGTCTTGTGTTAAACGCTCTTGAATATGAATCAAATATTTAAACGCGTTTTTCATTTTTTCTACCTTGCGAGGCAGGGGTCTCGGAGACAATTTGATCAATTTAGCTGATTCTTCTGTCCACGATTAATTTTACTAATTATCGGCGACTAAATAGGCCTGCATTTCCTGTACCATCCCATGAAGCACGCTGCATGCTCATCAATCTACAAACTAAAGGAACACACAGTGGTTGAAATCACCATTTTCGTGTGTTTAATTAATAGCTTCTTTATTATGGAATTTAGAGATATAATATCTTCAGAGAAGTGTTTCAATACGTTACTGCGCTTACTTTGATGTTTTAAGTTAAAAGATTAATCCTCCTCAAGGTGAGATAGAAAATTTATTTTTTCAACTATTCAAGATCAGTGATGGAAAAGTTCGCAAAAACTCAGTATGACTCGGGAACTTTTCCCTTGGTGAACTTCGTGAAATATCGCTAACTTTTCCAACACTGTTCAAGATACAGGGTTGGTGTCTTGGACTAAGTTGTAGAAAATTTCATTGTCAAACAACTTTGCCGAAGACACTTAATTGATTTCTTTTATACTTTTCAAGATATTTGAATAAAGAACTCAAAACAATGATTATTTATTTTCTCAGAGTGCTGACAACGCTGTCTCACAAGTGACAAGAACATCTCGGAAAAATTAATAATTTGGGCTGTTTTTTAAATAATATTCAAAATGTTGCCCAAACTTAATGCAATTATTCTAATGTTCATAAAAAATATATTTTTTTTTTTAGAAATCTAAAAAGGTGTTTCCCCCTCCTAAATTAGAGCAAATTAAAAATAATTGCCACACTGGCGCCACCTAGTGAGTGCCTTCTGAATTAAACTCTGTTCCTTAAGATAGACCATTACCATAAGAACATCTTTGCTGAAGAAGGAAAGCATCCATATGAGCAGCATCTGTAGATTTCGCAACTTGATCATTTACGTTTTAGCGTCATCTAGCATGGATATTCTGTCATACACTATCCGTAGTTTCGAAGATCTTGTATTCCTGCATATATTCGCGAAAGGAAGCATCATCCTATTTGATTGGAATTTCGTGATATATATCTCTTCCATCAAAATATGCCACTTTATAGGTATATTTTTACAATGACCCCTCCCTATGAGAGATCCAATCCCTAAAATAAACTTTGGTAATTTGAATTGAAATTCCATTGGATTTACTTTACAAATCATTAAAAATTTCAAAAATCCGTTGAACCTTCACTGATATATGACAATTTGACCCCAAGGTGCAGACAACGTAGTTTTTTTTTATGGCACAGGCGCAGGGTTAACTGCAATTTGGCACTTTAAACCAACCTATCAGTTTCACTTACCACTTCCTCATTAAATGAAGCAATAGCTCCTGTTTGCTCCACAAATACCCGCTTATTTCTATTTCCAACAGATTCCACTTCAACAACTCCCGTTAAGCAAAACATAAAGGCTCAGAATTAACCCTCAGCAGTAAAACCAAAGCTCCAAATGATCCCCTTTTCAACAGGTGCCGTCAAGAACATTATCTCTCCTTAACCTTATGGCAAAACCTTTTCCACCCATCCATCGCATCGCCACCCGACGGCTTAAAGTTACGCAACCATTCTGCTACCGAGCGGCTAATCCAAAGCATCCCACATCTGCGACAGTTGCCAAGAAGCAACAGATGAAAAGCAATAAAACCAAGAGTGCACACCATTCTCGTAACCAGGATAACCAACCCAAGCGGCCAACAAGAAAGCAGCAAAGTTGGCACACAGTTGAATGTGCGGGTGCTTTTATTGCTTCTCAAACCCCGGACCCTAATTTGCCTATTCTGCTGTCGCTTCCTACTCCCACAAAGCACCCGTTTCTTAATGTGCCATAATGTGTTCCATAAGGTCAAGATTGAATATAATCCCAACAGCGTGTCGCTGTCGCTCCCGTAGCAGGAGCCAAGCGAAACGAGCCAAGGAGAAAAAAAAAGTTGTGGGTGTAAATCTTGGTTGTGTAGCTCCTTTTTTTTGTCATCCGGGGGAGCCTGGAGGTGGTTCGCATAATGTTGTCAACCGTAACCAACCGTAATAACCGCGTTACTCAGTAGAAATTCGCGAGGTTGACTTGCAAGAGCAACAAAAAAGTATTGTCGGACAGATTTACAGACCGACCGAGTTGATGAGGGAGTATATCCTTTGGTTTTGCCATGCAGAGGACAGAATCGTCGTTAATATGATACGAGTGATTTAACTATAGGAAGGAACGAAGTGGGGTTGTAAGTAAAAGCAAACCGAAGTAGACTTACCTTAACACTTTGATCATCTAAGTCATGAACTAGGATTTTCCGCCTCTTGTGTCTTTTCTTCTTACAGTGTCGATGGTGGTGATGTCTGGCAAAGAGAGAAAGAGAAGCGAAAAGAATAAAAAAAAACGACACGAATGAGGTGAGAAGTTAATTGATTTTGCTTGTTTTTTTTTTTGCTCCTGCCCATTCTTGATGGGGAGGGATTTTCCCAAAGTACGCGACAGCAATGCCCTGTTGATACACGTAAAACAGTAGACAGTACACGTTGGAAGTTTGTGGAACTCTCATAAACAAAAAATTTAAAAAATATGATTCAATCACAGACAAACAGACGTAGCACTTCATTGTGTCATTCGTTCACGTCTTTTACGGTTGATTTGAATATTATCAGTTCCGCGAACTACTTGCCGCAGCGCTGGCACCGGATCACTTTGACGTTTCGATACATTATATAGAACTTGTTTGCAGTATTGTTTGCGAGTTAGCGAACAAGCTTGTTTTCCGCGAGAAGCCCAAGAGATGTCGTTACTGAGGTCCTATGTTTTGAGATACTATGTTTTCAAAAAAAAACATTTTCAAACAGTTACGTCTGTTTGTCTGTGATTCAATCCTCTCCCGATCTAATAATTTACGTTTATAAACTTGAAAGTGAGCTGATTAAAGTTAGCATCATACACACAGAATAATTTCACACGAAACACGTTTTACCTGTAACGTACATCTTGTGAGAGTAATGTTCCTTATTTTTTTTGTGACTGACTTTTGTATCATAATTGTACGCTTGCAGTTGTCGGTCTGGAAGCAACGATCTGTACATGATATTTTATTTGTACGTATTCGAACTTTTGTCCATTCGACCTTTTGTCTATTCGGACTTTTGTCTAATTTACCCTTTTCCATTCAGCCTTTTGTCCATTCGACTATATCTACGTTCAAACCAACCGCTTTTCACTTCGACCTTTTGTCCATTCAATCATTTGTCTATGCCCTATGTGAAACATGGTTTTCTTCTGAAGATGAACTTAACTTCAACGATTTTAACATTATCCGCCTGGACCGAGATGATTCATGATGGCGTACTTTTGGAGATTAAAATGGCTACCCCTTCTATAAAATCTCAATCCCAACAAATTCAGGCATTGAAATTGTCGCTTGCCAAATAAATGTGAAGAACAAAGATCTTTGCATAGCTTCTGTATATGTCCCTCCAAGGACTTCCATAAACCGCCGTCAGCTTTGGAGTTCAGTTACTATACTCCTATCTCCAGTTCTAATACTGGGCGATATGAACTCACACGGTACTGGCTGGGGCGAATCATACGATGACAATAGATCCCCATGGTAGTTATCACTTACCAATTATTATTTCAATCAAATGTGGTCATCAAAAATCGGATCAGTCAATTTTTTGTTCCTTTTGGCCTCACGAGGAATATTGATTGGAAGAAAAATGCATCGGCGGTAACTCTTGGTATTGACTCTACTGATCCTCTGCCACCATTGGAAGAGTATAGTTTCTTTACCGAACTGAAAGCGCAATTACAAGCTACAAAAGCGCATTAGAAGCTCTGAAACGACGTGTTCCAAGTGCATCCTTCAGAAGAAGACCCGCCACCCCTGGATGGGATAACAAATGTACAAAGTTGTATCTAGAGAAATCCGATGCCTTTAAAGATTCTCGTAGACATGAAAGATCTGAGCTTTTTGAAAAGTATCTAAAGCTTGAAAAAAAGCTTAAAAACTTATTGAAAGCACACAAAAGAAATTACTGGCGTACTTATATCGAGCGACTTTCTAGAGAAACCTCGATGACAACGCTATGGAAAAAGGCTCACTATATGCGAAACCGCTCATCCTCCAATGAGAGTGAAGAATACTCCTCTCAATGGATATTCGACTTCGCTAAAAAGGTTTGTCCAGACTCTGTCCCAGCACAACCGACTTTACGGGATACAGCCTGAAGTAACGGTTCCCTGGAAGAACCATTCACAATGCTGGAATTTTCAATGGCGCTTCTTTCATCAAATAACTCTGCTCCAGGAAGCGATATGATCAAATACGGACTTCAAAAAACCTCCCCGATAACGCTAAAAGTTGATTACTTAACCTGTATAATTCCTTTATGGAACTCAATATAGTTCCACCAGCATGGAGACAGGTTAAAGTAGGAGCTATTCAAAAGCCTGTTATCATGCCTGAGGAAATTATTAGAAAAAATTATCCTATCAAGACTTGACCATAGGATTGAATCAAACAACCTGATTTAAAATACGCAATTTGGTTCCGAAAGAGTAAAGACACAAACGATTGTCTAGCGTTGCTTTCATCTGATATTCAACTGGCCTTTGCGCACAAGGAGCAATTCAGTTTCCATAGACATACTGTCAGACAGTCTGCACTGTAGTGGATTACCCGGTATTTTAAATAATTTCTTGTATAATTTGCTGTCAGAAAAAAAAAATTACCTTCAATCTTGGTCAACTGACAACTTCTAGAATTAGTCTCTTACTTTATAATTTCTATGTCAAAGATATTGATAACTGATAAGATAATCGATGCACGCTTAGACAGCTTGCAGACGATGCCGTGGTTTCCCTGAGGGGTGCACGTGCGGAAATCTTGCAACGACCATTGCAAAATTCCCTAAATAATCTGTCCTTCTGGGCCAGAAATTTGAGGATCGAGTTTTCATCGCAAAAAACTGAATTGGTAGTGTTTACAAGGAAGCGGTTTCCAGCCTTACTGCATCAAAATATTTTGGGCAGAGAAATTACTAAATCTTTGAGAATCAAATACCATGGAGTCTGGTTTGATTCAAAATACACATTACGTATTTGAAACAAAAGAGTCAACAAAGGATCAACTTTCTACGATCAATTTCCGGGACATGGTGAGGTGCTCACCTGAAAGACCTCATTTAACTATAGTTTATAAAACGACTTTTTTTTAGTTCTTGAGTGTGGCTTTTTTTTTTGCTTCCTCTCGGCAAGAAAAAGCCACCTAATCAAATTGGAACGTATTCAATATCGTTGTTTACGTATTGCCCTTGGCTGTATGCATTCAACACACAATATGATCCTAGAGGTTCTAGCGGGCGTAAAACCCCTGCAGAACCGTTTCTGGGAGCTCTCATTAAGAGTACTGATCAAATGTAGTGTCAGTAACATCCTTGTGATTGAATACTTCGAAGGAATGCTCGAATTGAGCACCCAGATTCGAGTGAGTCTACCTTAATTATATGTCATCGGATATTAGCCTTCTGTGCTATAATCCCCCCTCCCCCTCGTGTACGCTTTTACTAACTACAGTTCACCCATTGACTATGATCTCTCCATAAAACTGGCTATTCAAGGAGTTCCAGATCAACTTCGACCTATCTCAATTCCCCGTATTTTTGCTGAAAAGGACCAACAAGTAAATTGCAAAAGAAGATTTTTCACTGATGGATCCACTTGCTTCAGTGTCTTTATTGAATACTCAACCGCCTTCCGGAAACTTCAGGTACCTTGTTCTGTTTATGTTGTTGAGCTCGCAGCAATCAACTTCACATTGGGGATAATTTCCGACATGCCCACAGATCATTACTTCATCTTCTCGGATAGTCTCAGTTCGATTGAGGCTTTTCGGTCGATGAAACAAGGTAGGCACTCATCTTATTTCCTTTCAACGGTAAGGGAGCAGATGAGTTTGCTGGTCGAAATATCATATAGGATTACCTTTGTATGGGTCCCCTCACATTGCTCAATCCCAGCCAATGAGGAGGCAGACTCTCTCGCAAAGGTGGGCGGTCAACAAGGCGAGATTTATGATAGAAGAATTTCACATAATCAGCGTTGGAAAATATCGCGATATTTCACGTTGTTCACCAAGGGAAAAATTCGCGAGTCATAGTGAGTTTTGGTGAACTTTTCCAACACTGCACATGATGAATTTTTCCCATTAGTCAGAGTTCTTTTCTAAGTTGGCAAAACGATTGGACAAGTAATTCTCTTGGGCGGTGTTTACATTCCATTACTCCAAATGTTTCTTCGAGAGCGTGGTTCAAAGGTAAGTTCATTCGCGTGATGTCAAGACTTATGTCCAACCACTACTCGCTAAACGCAAATCTCTACAGAATAAACCTCGTTGACCGGGTATGATGACATCGATCACACAGTTTGGCATTATCCGGGTAATGACACCTCCAGAGCACGACTATTGGATACCCTAGTGGCCCGCGGTAGAGAACCCCTTTCCGTGAAGCAAGAGATGTATTGGGAACCCTTGATCTTCCCTACATACAGGCGATCTACGAATTTCTTTGTTTGTCTGATGTTAGAGTTTGATGTGACCATCCCCTTCTTTCCACACTTTTTCCAGCCATTGTGTCCTTGTCTTATTATCCTCCTGTTTCTGTGCTACTTGCCCCTGCCCATGCACCGATTTAAAGAAATATCCAAATTCAGACCAGTCATGAAAATTATATCCACAATCGTTCAACCTCCACTGTGTTCTGATCGTCGTTGGATCCGCGTCTCGGCCCTGAAAGTACTCACCTATGCTTATGTCTTCTCCTATGTTCAGGCACTATCGAATCCCGGTCCGGTTCAAGCTGCAGCGAGACGTCATACATAAAGTCCTCGTCGTACGGGAATTGGCTGAAATTGGTTCCGAGAAAAAAAGAAGCTGTTGAACTAAGAGCCAAAACAGACCCTATCTACCGTAATCCCCATCACGATTCCAGCTCTCGATGGGCTCTTTAGGGGGTGCCGTTTTGAGGATACGGAAGAAAAAAAAAAAAAAACAAAAAAAAAGAATGTGAAATGGTACAGAAAAACGTGCAATTTTCTGATATCCCTTTACAGACGGTCGGGGTGTCAACTTACATCGGTTGATTTGGTGGTCGACTGAGGATACAGTGCTGTAGGCCGCCTCCACCGGTTCCTCCTCCACCGGAGCTAGTGGAAGGAAATACAATTACCGGGTCTGAGCAGCGCTTCAAGTATTCTAGAACAGGAGGATGAGAGACAAAGTTACTTTGAGAAAATCGACGCTCTTGACACCGAGGACAGAAGACGAGAGATGGGGGTGTGGTGCATGATGGGAAACTAGAAGGTACACACGGAACAAAAGAAACGTGAAACAAATACGGTCGATCGTCCACCCACACACGCGCCGGCTGCCAGTTGCCAGCTGTGGTTTTATGAGGCTATAATAGCAAATCATTGTTTGTTGTTCTTGGACGTGCACCACAACAATATTCAGCATTTATGTGTGTACAAAAGTTGGCCCAAGGCTCTGCCCGGTGCAATTTTGATCGATGATGAACGTTGTTGCTTCAAAAAACCCGGTAAATCGAACGTTGCTTCTCGAGAGGACGTCAGCAGCACTTGTACACAGCTTGACCTAAAGCTAACAAATAAAATGAAAAAAAAAAGACAGAGTGTTTGTGTGCATTGCTATTTGTGGTGAAGTGTGATGGTTCGTGAGTTCTGTGCCATTAGTGGTGGGAAATTTCTACGTTCATTCAGTTTGTTGTTTGTTCCGGTCGGAAATTGTATTCCAATGTTTTATTATTATCATGTGAATTAATTATCATTCTTTGGCAACTTGTTTCCATAAATAAATGTTTTTGTTTAAACGCATTAATTTCAAACAATTAATTGTGATTCAATATATGTTTGCTTCGATGTTATTCCTTAATCAAAGAAAATATTTTGATAAGTGCTTCAGAGAACTTTTCGACAACGACAACAAATAGCAATATTTTTTAATTCTTCAAACGAATTACACAGCGGTGCTGCTGGTGTAGTGGTAAGCGTGATTACCTCTCACCCAAGCAGTCCTGGGTTCAATCCCAGTCGGCACCGCCGGGATGTTCTGAGGTATAATATCTCTGATCACGCCTTCCTTTGGAAGGGAAGTAAAGCCGTTGGTCCCCGGTTCATGAGTTGATGGGTCGATAGGTAGGGTCCAGGTGTGTGCCTTTGTGCTGCCTTCCTGGCGTCGGTAGCATTGGTGCTGAGCACGGAAAACAAGATCGACGGAAAACAAATCAAGGAAAAAACGAATTACACTTTTGAAACAATTCCATGGATATCCATCTCCATCAATTTCGTCTAGATGAACGCGTCATTGGAACGGAACTAATGGTTATTTTTGGTTGCTATTGAAAATTAAGTCGGTTGCTAAATTTATGTATGAGCCCAAATTAGGGGCATTTAGACCGACATTACTTCAATTTCCCCTACATAAAATATAATATCAACCTATCTGAAATGAAAACATTAAGTGATTAGGTGTCTTTTTTTAGAATCCTGAAAATGGTCCAATTTGCCCGCATTCCCTCTTACACTGCTGATTTTTTTTAATTGCTGTCATTTTGACAATTTTCTGATTTTGATTACATGGGATAATATTCAGAAATTTTGACGGGGATTTTTTTTTGTTTTAGTAAAATGGTTTAGTATTTATTATGTTTCCCGTTTTTAATGTTTGAAAAGAACCCGGACCCTACCCGAAGTAATTCTGCTGGAAAATTCCTCTTCAATCCTTCAGATTCTTATAGAAATCTGCTTTGAAGTCGATTCGGATTAAAGATTTTCTGCCGCCATGGCGCCTAAGCGCAAAAGTAAAGAGCAATCTCTTGATTACCCTTCTGATGAAATTAATTTGAGCAATCAATTTAATTTGCTCACGGAAAAGGTCCCCCTATTGTGATAACCACTTCCGATTTCCATGCTCTTCGCACGGAACTTTTGAACTTCGCGAAATTCAAGTTTTCACTTCAAATTGGCCATCGGGGTGAATGCCGCGTATTGGCTGAAACCTTGGACGGATTCAAACGTCTTCTCAAGTATCTTACTGCCCTAATAAACAAATACCATAAACGAACTGTATCCCGGATGCGTAAACTATCCCACAAATGGTTTGGATGATACTCCGAACACGTCGTTAAGCTCTCTTTTATGCTTATTTTTATTAGGGTGAGAAGAAGCACAATTTTTTTACTTACGACACCAACACTGAACGTGTGTTCAAGGTTGTCATGAAAAGACTGCCTAGTGGTGAATCCCTGGATCAGATCAAAGATGAACTGGCAAAATTACTTGGAGTTGTGCCACTCCAAGTAATCAAAATGAAAATGAAATCCCGTCCTGGCGATTCGCGCAACGGGATTTCTAATGATTTTTATTTAGTTCCCTTCAAGTCTAGTGAACTAAACAACCTTAAGGCCTAAAAAAAGCTAGCCTTATGCTCCATGTCCGAGTGAAGTTAGAACACTTCAGGAAGACTGGAGAAAATTTCCAAAACCTCACCCAGTGCCGTAAGTGCCAGGGATGGGTTCACGGAACAAAAACTTGGTACATGCCAGCTAAATGCATGAATTATGGTGATTCCTCTCACGCAAAGGACGACTGTCCTGTGAAGGAAGATCCTAAGAAATTTAAATGTTCAAATTGTGGTGAAAACCACAAATCCAATTTTTGGGAATGTAAGACTCGCAAAGCGATCCTACAATCTCGTTCTAAGTGACAGGTATGTAACGCTTCACGTTCCTGACCAGGTACAAATTCCTCTGCTGTTAACAACGGTCTACGAGTAACAAATTCGTCATGTCATCAAGCATAGTTTACTAGTTTATCCGATTAATTCGCATAAAGGTCAAAATTTGGCGTTATTTCCGATGAAAATTAATCATCATGCGATGAAATCCATTCTTATAAGCGACTTGGACTAAATCTGCATCATTTTATGATTTTATCTGTGAATTATTAAAAGACTTTCGGTTGCATTTAAACCAAGAATGATTGTAGCACGTTTGATCGCTTGTTCATGATCTGTATAATGTTTTATTGGATATTCAAATTCCATATTTGAAAATGATAATGTTTTGAGGCAAACCAATCTTTTTTTTTCGATAAGGCAGGCAAAAACAGATATTTATTTTTTGAACCGACCATCTCTGATTTGTTTGAAACTTTGCGTAAGTATTTCAAGCTGAACATTGCATTAGGTCCTAAGTAACATTGACAGATTCTCTTCGTCGACTTCCTCTTTGTATCCCCACGGCCATGTAAAGACATTTCCAAGTATTTTCAGCACACAGATCGATAAAAGAAGCTTTTCCTGCGCTTTGGTACGGCGTCGTTGTGCCAATTTGGTCGTGGCACATTTCGAGTATGAGGGAGTGATTGCAGTTAGATCAAAAGTGCCTGAGAAAAATGCAAGCACTTTCGCGGATTACCCGGAGTTCCGATAGTGAAGGTATGATCACAGACAAGCAGACATAACATGCTTAATATGTTCATCGAAATTGCTTTTAACGTTTCTTAGTTGGTACTACAGCCACTTGTGGCGTGCATAATCAATTTCCTAGCGTTTTAAGTTTACACGCTACAATCATCTGTCGAATGTACACAACAGATGGCGGTAGTGTTTACAATGATAAATGTTCAATGTGTTGCGTCTGTTTGTCTGTTTCTCTGTTTGTAGTAGCACACAAAACAAGGAGTAGCAATTTCAAAGTTGTATGTTTTGTGGAAGCTGACATTTGTGCCTTTAAAGTTTCACTCTAAGGCTTCCTTAGAGTATCATCTTAAGCTGACATTAGGGACATTAACATTAAGTTGATTAATCCGCCACTACGGATAACGTATGTAGGTGAAATAAACAACGGGGCCTCAGATGACCTAGTTTATAGGTGAAATCGTGTAAAGTTTGACATCTTTAAAACTGTTCCAACTTTTGAATAGTATTGGTTAGATGGATTGAAGTTCTCTGCTATTTTATTTACCGCAAGGAATTTAATTAAATGAGCATTACACATCGACCTTCCCAAGTAACCAACAAGCCCGATAATTCGCCTTTTTTGCATTATAAGGCTAATATGTGGCTTATATAAAGCTTTGCATACCTTATGTTAGCCGTGTATCAGCCTTATATTGCAAAAAGGTGAATTAGCGAGCTTGTTGGTTACTTGGGTTAAAAAAAGACCACACGAGTTGAAACACATAATTTGGTATTTTGCCACACTAAAGGGTGTCCACGATGAAATTGCCACACACAAAATTGATTCGCAAAATTCGAGTTTTCATCCGATTGCCATCAAATTTTTAGAGATTGAAAAATAACTATTAAACTTCATTTTACCATTTTACTCGTATTTTATTTACAGTCCATACGCAAATGCCCGCACCTTGGCCTTAACCCCGGCCATAAGATTCTGCACAAACTGTGAATCAACCGTTTTTTGCATGTAAACCCATACTTTCTTCAGTTCCTCGACTGTCTTCACTACCTTAGGTCGTTTAAGAAGGTGCTGTTTCATAATCGCCCAGTACTTCTCGATGGGGCGGAGCTCCGGAGTGTTGGGAGGGTTGAACATTTTCGGCACGAAATTGACCTTATTGTCCGCATACCACTTCAGCACGTCCTTGGAGTAGTGGCATGAGGCCAAATCCGGCCAGAAGATTGTTGGGACGTTGTGGGCCTTTAGGAGAGGAAGCAGCCGCTTCTGGAGGCACTCTTTTATGTACACCTGTCCGTTCATCGTGTCCTGGGTCACGAAAGGTGCACTCCGCTTCCCGCACGTGCAGATGGCTTGCCAAACCAGGAATTTCTTCGCAAATTTGGACATCTTCTGAGTGCGGACATGCTCCGGAACGCTGAACTTATCCTTGGCCGTGAAAAACAGGTTGCCGGGGATCTGTTTGAAGTCGGCCTTCACATATGTTTCGTCGTCCATGATGCAGCATTCAACTTTCGTCAGCATGTTGAGGTACAACTTCCTGGCACGGGTTTTGGCGGACTTGTTCTGCTTCTCGTCGCGATTAGGGGCCTTTTGTACCTTGAACGTTCCAAGCCCAGCCTTAGTGTTGGCCTTCTGGACAAAACTTCGGCTTAGGTGCAGCTTCTTAGCCACATCCCTAACGGAGGCGTTCGGATTTCGGTTGAAGGCCCCAACTACGCGGTTGTGATTTTTGGTGTTGTACGGAATACTTTTTCCTTCCCTTCTGGGCTTCCGATCGGTGGTCAACCGTTCCTCGAACCGCTTAATCACTCGCGACACCGTGGAATTCGCGATTCCCAACGTTTTAGCGATGGAACGATGCGAGAGATCCTTGTTCTCGTGATGAATGCGCAAGATTTTATCACGCACGAGCTGTTCTTTCGACTCCATTTCCGCGAGTTTTGATCACAGGACTTTAAAACTTGCAGGATGTAAATAATGCACTATGAACTAAATCCACCCAAATTTTCATTAAATTCTACCCAACGGTTAAAAAGTTAGAGCAATTTCATAGTGTGGCAATTTCATCGTGGACACCCTTTATTTAACATCATACAGCCACCGCAACATATTTTAAAGGAGTTTGTATGTTATGCGCCCAGCCTATCGTCCGTTTTCATTCCTTTAAATCTCTAAACCACGTCTCCCCCGAATGAAAAGAGCTACTCCCGTCAACACATAGTGCACTACTCGATTGTGGTATGCGTGAGTAACACCCGAACAGTCCAACTGTTTTCACCCAGGTATGAAATCTCTCTCTCTCCTTTGTCTCTTTCTCCTACCAAAGATAAGAGACACGCATAGACAGTATGTTTTGCACCACTCTAAGTTTCTTGGCCATCCCTGTACAAAACTCCCTTAAGTTTTACAAAATTTCCTCAACTTCACTGAATTTATTCAGAATTCCATATTTTCCCAACTCTTTTAAATTTATGAAGCTCTTTGAGCATCTTCTTCTTCTTCTTCTTCTTCGCATTTCAAGCTTATTGCATATCGCATATTAGCTTATTGCGTGCTCTCAACTTAGTGTTCTAGATGCACTTCCACAGTTATTAATTGAGAGCTTTCGATGCCTGTACCATTTTTGCATTGGTATAATTGTGTGGCAAGTCCAATCATACTTTTATGCCCAGGGAAGTCGAGACATTTTCCAACCCGAAAAATTCCTTGACCGGACCGGGAATTGAACCCAGCCACCTCCAGCATGGTCTTGCTTTGTAGCTGCGCCTTTACCGACTGAGCTAAGGGAGGCGCCGAGCATCTTAGAACCTCTGGAAAGACCTTCATCATCTACAAATATTCTTGACAAAGTTAGTTGAAATTTATCGAAGAAAAATCTTGAGATTTTTTGAAGAAAGATCTTTGACAAACTGCAGCGAAGCTGCTTAAGCTGAATCGAGGATCCCTGAAATCCTTCGAAGTTTACTGAACTATTTTTATATCTTTTACAAAATTCCCTGCACTTATATGAAGTTTTATGCAGCTCCTGAAAATGCTACAAAATTCACAAAACTTCTACGAAATTTCTTGAACTTGTACGTAATTCCCTGAACTAATCCAGGCTCATTAAGCTTCAAAAAAGTGTCCTGAAATTATATAAAGATCCCGAACAATAATGAGGTTCCCTTAAAATTAAATAATGTTTAACTTCTACGAAGATCCCAACACTTAAGTAGAGTTCCTACTTCTACGCAGTTTTCTGAACTTTTCCAAAGCTCCCTGAGTTTCTACGAATTTTTCTGCAGCTCTATGAAGTTCGCAGAATTTTTACCAAGTTTCGTTAATTTTTACGATTTTCCCTGAGCTTCTTAGAAGTCCTTAAAGTTTTAAAAAGTTCCCTGAGGTTAAACAAAAATCCTGAACTCTTGGTCAATTTACAGAGCCTGAAGACGTCTTATTATGCTATCGGTTTAATTTCGATATAATATTATAGTATAGAACATTAAGAAAAGTAGACATTCATAAAAAGCAATAAAAATAAAAAGTAACCTCGCAAAATATTTGCAAATATCGCATAAACTTTAAAGAATTTCAGGTCAGAAACATCATCTTAATATTTTCAAATATATAACGCAATTTTCGTGAAAAAAATATAAAAGTTTCAATTTCAATACTTTCCTATTTCCAGTTCCATTCCATTTCCAACTTACCAAGTTTCAATTTTTGTTCCTTCATGTTTCAAAGTCCACGTGGTGCCTCACAAGTTCTAAACATTTACCAAATGCAATACCTACAATCAACCAAACCAATTCCCAAACCCCGAAGTTGCATACTTACTGTACTTCCTCTTGTTCAGCTTCTCCTCGTCGCTCTCGTTCAGCTCCCCCGCCAGCAACGGGTCATCGCCGTAATCATCCAGACCAACAACCATCCCACTGCTGCAGGGTGGCATCGCTGCAGCCGACGACACTGTTCGATGTGCACCGAAGTTTTCCCTCCGACTGCGGCCACTTCCGTGCCTCGCTTGTTCCGACTGTTTCCCCTGCTGGTGATAGTGCAGCTCCACGTCACAGCTCGATTGTCTCAGAAATCCGTGGCGCTGCTTCCGACTACCTCCCGCCGTTTCGCTGCTGGTAATGATTGTCGTCGTTGATGCTAGTTGCTGCATTTTCGATTGATTGCTACTAAATTCCTGCGTTTGTGATTGTTGTTGCGTTTGAGCTTGTGTGGCGGATCGACCTCCGCCGCCAGCGGCGGACAGTCGATGCAGCTTGATCATATCACTAACCGGCAACGCGGACTGCCGCATCGATATCACAGGCAGATTGGGAGATGTGAGTTGGTTAAAGCTTTCGATCAGTCCCGGCGTTGGCGGCGGCGAGGGGTCTGCGCTGTAGATCAGCTTTGCGGTTGTCATCGTCGTCGTTGTCGTCACCGCCGCGGTCGGGATCAATTTGTTCTTCCTACTAGCGCTAGTACTACTACTGCTATCGACTACGGCTAACGATGACTTCTTGTGAGTACTGCTTCGTTTGCTGTCGCTCAGAGTCGTTTGCTTATCCTTCGGTATCACAATAGAGTTACAGTTGCTAAGATTGCTAGTGGCGCTGGCGTCGTTGCCTGCGGTCTCTCGACTGAGATCGATCACGAATGAGGTGTCTTCGATGTCTTTCTTCGATTTCGTCGCCACGGGATTGGGCGATGTCGTTTGGTAGGTGGCGGTGCTAAAAGTAAGATGGCGAGCTTCGGTCGGTTTCTGGCGAGGAAGGATTGGGCTGTTTTGGGCACTGATGGATTTCGCCTCCAGGAGCCGCAACCGATGGGAAGCCGTACCAAAGAGCGACGGTTGACGGGATGTCTCCGGGCGATATTTGCTAACATTCTTAATTATGGGAACCGGTTCGGAAGCTATGCTTCGCTTCATTTCGGAAATTTCACTATTATCCAGCTCGATGGATACGTTCGTTGCGCTGTCCTCGAGGTCATACTGGGTACTAAGCGGATCGGAATGTGGTTCTATTTCTATGGATACACTTACTGGTTCTAACGTACTGCATCGTTCCCGAAATCGGAAATCATTCGATTTGATGGATTTCCTGTCGTACTCTAAAGATTGTGCTATAGCTTCACTTTTCGATGGCAGTTCGTCCGTGCCGCCCATCGCTTCCCCGCCGCTATCGTCGTCATCATCGATGTCCAGCTCCAGATTCACCACTGTCACACCGTTTGTCTGCCCGGTGGCTCTTCTATTACGGCCCACTTCCGAATCCGATTTTGATTGATAGTCCTCTCCGGTGCCAATAGCCACAACATTGCCATGGGCATCGACCAGCGAGGACAAATCACCAATCTCGACAATAACCTCGTCAGCGCCATCGCTTGTGGTTGAATTTTCCAACGGCAAGCCACCGACTGCCCCGACAATCCCATCCCCTTCCTGTTCGTCTCGCTCGGCATCCTTCACTGTTCCATTCCGCTTCTTACCCTCACCACTACCGTTCTTGCTGACCTTCTTGCAGGACTTCCTGCCAAACAAAATCCGTCTGATTACCCTCGACTTCTTATTACGTTTTTTCAGTTCACATTCACGCTTGATAGCCAGTATCTTGTTCTCGACCAGCGTCGAAAAGACCGCCTCAAACTTTATCGCTCGGCTCAAATCTTCGTACGTGTCGGTGCATACCGCCTTGTCAACCTTCATCTTTTGTACCTAACCTTGAACCTAGAACGGCGGCAGGAAGCGGACCAGCAGCGGTAGCGCATCGGTCCCCTTTCACCTGCTTGCCGCCCTGTCTCTTTTCACCTGATCGTCCCTTGCCGACGGATCTCCCAAAAATCCCAGCTTGTCCCGATTTTATCGACAACTACCACAACTGTTTTGGAACGTGCTGGCGCCGCACTTCTTGTTTAGCATTTCACACAGACTTATTTTCTTCAATTGTGTAATTTGTTTTCTCCAGTCTCGCCATATTCCCTGTCGAAGAAAACCCAAACAACGTCTCAATCGAGTACACGGTTGCCTATCATCAGGGGTACACCTATTTCCGCTCGAACGACTGCCATTCGGTTAGTTCGATTTCGATAAGCAGCTTCCGTCGGATGGATGACATCACTCCGAGGGGCAATCTGGAAGAAGATATCGAGAAAGAAAGAAAAATGATTAGGTACTTTCATTCCGATTTAAGTTTCCGAATGCCGGGTCTGAACGCACTGAAACGGATAGAGATTGAGAAGAGTGACTGTGTTTATCCGTCAGTATGTCTGCTTGTCTGCCGGTCGGTCTGTGCAATTTCGGTCGTCTTCTACCGTCTGCGCCGGCGAACGCAACGGAAACGACGCCCTCCACTGACGACGACGTCATTGTTGACGAGGAAGGGTGGCGATGCTTCCGCTAGATTGTAATTGAGATTGTGGCTTGTTTAGATTTCCATTCCATGACATTGGGTATGCTTGGGCTTATTTTTCATCTGGGGGTTCGGAGTGGAAAGGCCTTCCAAGTAAATGGGTTTATTATTAAAATGCCATGGCTCTAATTGATTGAATAAGCTTGTCGCATGGTTGGGAGGGAGGTTTGGAGATTATAATAATATGTGCTTGTTGGGGATTATTTTTTCAAAATATTAATTCGACCTTTACGGAACCTCAGGCTTTTGGAAATTAGGTTTTCTTTTGGCTTTAGATTTGTTGTCGATTTGTTGGTGAGGAGTGAATGAAGCAAGGATGTGGAAATTGGTATGATAAATTATACATAAATTATAATTTTATCTCGATTTCGGCAAGATATGGTATTTTTGCATTCCGCATGGGTTTTTAACGCTGTCGGTTTCTCACAAATCCTTTGATAGTCATTCCAAACAGTGCTGGCATTTTAAAATTTATCCTAGTTAGGCGTCATGTTTAAAGACGGGCGCACTAATTATTTTGTTTCCTCCATACGTACAAAGTGCAGAAGACTCCAAATCGTGATAAACGGGAAAATACGGTGGGAAAGACACGGGTCCGGAAACTGTACATCCAGATGCTGACGAAGCCTCATTGTCTCATCATGGATGATGAGACTTATGTCAAGGCGGACCTCCGGCAGTTTCCGAAGCTACTGTTCTTCAGCGCCCAGCACAAGTTTCATGCTCATGTGGCAAACGGAGAGCACCGTTCGTGACTACCGGGACTGTAAACGGCGAGATCTACCGCAAGAAGTGTCTACAGAAGCGTCTGCTTCCTATGTTGAAGCAACACGAGGGCCCTACGATCTTCTTGCCGGGTCTAGCTTCGTGCCACTATTGAAATGTTGTCCTGGGATGGTACGAAGCCAACGGAGTCACTTTCGTACCCAAGGACATGAACCCCCCCCAAACGCACCGGAACTAAGGCCCATCGAAAAATACCGGGTTATTATGAAGCAGGCACTACGGAAGCATCTCAAGGAGGTCAAATCTGAGGAAGAAATAAAGAAAAAGTGGGTTTCCGTACAGAAGAAGCTGCAGTCAGATGTTGTGCATAACCTAATGCGTGGAGTTAAGCGTAAGGTGCGCACGTACGGTTATGGTATTGAAGTTGAATGAAATAAATATGCCAAAAGCTTAATATTTTATTGTCTGAAAAATTGAAAGGGATCGGTCAACTAGGTAATTTTCTACAGCTTTTTTCCGTGTTACAATTTGATGTGGGACACCCTTTAGGCAGTAGAATCATTAATTTTACCAGGTTGATGCATTCTTGATTACGTATGGTGATACAGTGCTGTAAATTCTCAAAATCATTTGAGCATTTTTGATGAAAATGAGAAAAGTAGCTTTTCGCTATCAAAGGGGACCTCCTCCGAATGGGTGATATCAGTTGCTTAGTCATTTGACGAAGGCATGGATCATTCTCATTTGAGAAACGCTATATATCATTCAATTGAGTGTAACCTACATACAAACGGAGCTCTGGTCGACATTCCGGCAAAAAAGCGAAGCCAACCCGACACCAACCTGACTTCTATCAAACTCCAACCCGATGTTGACCCGAAATTGGCCCGACATAAACTCAAAATTGACCCGACAACAACACGACATTGGGTCAACATCGACCTTAAATTAACCTTACATTGATCCGACATCGGGTCGACTTGTCTGTTCGGGACCATTTTGCTGGATTTCTTCCATACTCCACTGTCGTATATCAAATGATACTGAGTGACTCAATTGACAGTGAAAATGAGCTTCGAATGAATAAGGGGCTCTTCAAATTATGGTCATGTGAGAATTCGTTTACACAGAATTGATTGAATGGTTGTATTGGTTTATCTTCAATCGAATGATATGAAAATTTACAGCACTGTTCAGCCGCTCCATCTCCTTCAACGATCGCTTCGAGTAGTGTGCCGACGCCAGATCCGGCCAGAACACCGCGTCTTCGCCCTTATGGTATTTCTCGATGAACGACGGAACTTCCGGCAGGCATTTCGTACTATAAATTTCCCCAATCACGGCGAAAGAAGAGTGGCTTTGATATCCCCTTCTTGCTGATTGTCAGCCACAGCAGCACCTTCTTGGGGAACTTGGTGTGTGAAATGAAGTTCACCTCGGAGCTCACTTCCTTCGTGGGGGAAGTAAAATCAGTGCTAACATTTGAAAACGGCGCAAAAGCCATTTGTAAACAAATGGTTTGTGGGCCCTTTACTCGCTACCCGAAGAACGTCCACGCAAACCAACAGCATCGTCAGGAAGGGGAAAATTTCCCCTACCCGATGTTGCTGTTGTGTCGCGTGGGTGTACTTCAAGTAGTGAGTAAAGGGCCCACAAACCATTTGTTTACAAATGGCTTTTGTGCCATTTTCAAATGTTAGCACTGAAATACGAAGTTGCCATCCAGGGTGAGATAGGTCTCCTCGTCCATCACCACTGCCACGTCGCGATTCGCTGGGAAAAACGAGTTGACCATCTTATTCAGCCGCTGCCGCTGCGTTATTGTCTGCAGCTCCGAAACCGCTTCCTAACATGTATGTTCGTGTTCGCCAGGTATTTTTTCACAGGCCAAGCGCACGCAGCAATGTAGCCACTTTTCCCTCGGTCTTCCTCTTCAACATCCTTTGGAACTTCTTGTCGCTCAGGGTCGTCGGCCGTCCGGAACCGGGCTTTCTTTCGATGCTCTGATTGTTGTCTAATAGTACCAAGATGTTGTAGATGCCGGAACGGGCGTTTGCCATCACGGTTAGAGTGCGACTGCTAGAGCTGTCAAGTTTTGACTGCTGACGCATGGGTTACTATGAGTGATGCTGTAGTAGTTTCGTCAGCGCGGGTGAAGGTGAACCCATGAAAAATCGACAATATTTGCCCATTTTTTTAAATGCAAACGTTAGGCCAGAATTAAGTATTAACTCGATGGCCATAGGATCCGTCCATAGTCAACAACAGCCTGGTGCCGAACGATCATACAATTCTTCAGATCTTTCGCAGAACCACCCGGTACGATTGATGGTTCACCCGAGGGGGACGACTCTATCTACGATGCAGAAAAGATTGTGTTCAGCTGTGGCTAGCTGCGCGCACGCTGAGTAGATAGAAAGAAGATTGATGACGATTCTGAAGATTTCCTGCAAAAAGATGATGCGCGATGCAAGTAGATGCGAAAAATGAAAGAAGATTTTTCGAAGATTGATACGCTAGTGTGAGATTTGTTGAGCATCTAGACTTGAGATTTAGATGTGTCGCCCCCCTCGGGTTCACCAATCAGTCAACCGTACATCTCATTCTATGGACTGAACTCGGAATCGATTGACTGTGGAGGTCTCTTCCGCAACTGTTCGTATCATCGACGGCAACAGCAACATTAAGAAAGATGCTGCTAACATAATTGTGAAGGTAACCACACCGGAGGTAACAGAGCCAATCTGAATCGCAGTCTTAATGAACGTAATCGGAACCGGCAGCAGTTTCATGGAGATTAATATGCGATTACGGCATGAAGAAAAACAAACAGATACAAGGAGGAGGTAGTCATCAAACTCAAAATTCTTTTATGTGGGGGGAGGGTGCAGTCAGATAATTTAGTACCTATCCAAGACTGCTGACACTGGGAAGCTAATGCATGTATATTACTGCTACAACTACCGCTGGTGGTGGTAGGTCGAGTCTTTCCTATTTTTCAGGTTGTAGCATTGCCCGAGTAGCATGATGATATTGCAGACAGGATTCATCTTCCACTTGCCGGTTGGGTACTTGGTTTCAGCAAACGTCTGCCAGAATGACGCACGGTAGAGGACTGTCTTTTCCTGGATGGACAGTTGCTGCCATCAGTCACTTCGATTGCCACTTCCTTGAAGCGGATGACCGACAACCAGCTCGTTGAATATTATCTTGGAATTCAGTTTCATAACTGTTTTCCATCCTTGACTTGAACATGTAAACACAACATCTCAAAAGTCATAAGTGCAGGGTTGTCAAACTCATGGGCTACTGAGACTGATACCTTGATTGCCACACTTCAGCACGTTCGGCACAACGCTTGACCTAGCTTTCGGCACAGATAAAGTTCTCAGCACAGATTTCGAATCGATTTGTGGTCTTGGACACATTTGTTCTGCATAGCATTCCCAACATGAGTCTCAGATTTGGTTAAATTTAATCAATTTTAGAATTATGAACTAATGAATAGTTCCGTTTCCCATACATTTTTTCAATACGTACTTTAAAATTATCCCTCGAATACAAATCTTGATCGATCAAATTTGGCACAGTTTTTGGGAACCTTAAAACGAATCAAAAATGCAGTGGGGAGCAGGGGGTTGTGAACGACCATACAAACATGATGACGCCTTGTATACAGTCTTCCACAACATGTCAAAATTACATAATTTACCCTAATGTAGCTATACACATTAATGGCCATTAACTCTCAAATCCCATTGGTGAAAGCTTCATCGCAAGCTTCCATAATATTGAACGATGTGAAATCATACATCAAACATCCAATATCACTAGGACTCCTTCCAACAATGCTGATCAAGCTATGGCATGCAATCAAGGTCAAACACCGGAGTTAACTCGAAGCAGTCGCGAGCCCCAGTCGGATTAATATTTACATGCTTCATTTAGCGTTCCGACATGTTTATAGCGCCATTAATTACATCTGCCTACCCTGGC